AACAATAAATATAAACAATGAATAATAACTAATGCTATTGTCATTTATATTGTTGAAACTATTAGGCAGTTATTTATCTTTTGTAAACAGTTTTTGTATGAAAATTAGTGAGAAACACCCTAGAATAAAATATTGTTTTATATAAACTGTAAGTAAAATTTCTTTTATCTGATAAATACTCTTCCTTCCTTCCTTTGTATAAAATTATAGATCTTTAAATACATAAATGAAATCTTGTATAAACAAACATGATGCAATGACCCATGTTGTCAATTATTTCAATAATTTTTCTAATAAACCTTGATTATATAGCCTCTTTCCTTTGTATTGTTTCAATAATTATTCCATTTAAATTTAATCTTACTATCATATTCAAAATTTCTGCTTGCTAATTATCACTAGATAATATTCGAATTTAACTCGACTACGAAATGCGATGCAAATCTCGATATCGAAATCACAATTTTAAGGTTTTCACAAATTTCTTCTTCGTTCTAATTATCTCGAAAAAAGAAGAAAACTCGCGAAGGATTACATAAATACTTTACTTCGCATCGCATTAATAATAGTTCTGAATATACATAAGCGAAAATTATGTGTACTTGATTTAATAAATAAGTATATCGATAGTCGTTATTTGAATGTTGAACTATATTTGGAATAAAAAAATAGAAGACAACGCAATAGTAGTGACCTCTGGTTAACTCTATTCATACTGGTTCAATAGTAGCCCATTGAGAAAATAGATTAAGATATAAAATTGATCGATTTACTTTATTTGTGTTGCATTTGTTCATCATTCATTTTCTTATAGATAGAAAATTTTTATTTTTTAAATCATGATTCGCTTTATTCTAATTCAAAATCGAGCTGGCAAAACTCGTTTAGCTAAATGGTATGTTAAAATTAAAAAAATATATATCATTGAATATTTACAACTTCTTACTCCTCAATAGGTTTATGAATTTTCATGATGATGAAAAACAAAAATTAATTGAAGAAGTTCATGCTTTAGTTACTGTAAGAGATGCTAAACATACAAAGTAATTTACAATTATTTTCATTATTAAATAATATCATATTTATATATTTTTTATTTTTAGTTTTGTCGAAGTAAAATATCATTCATTATTTAATTTGATCTAATTAAAATATATTTTAGTTTCGAAATTTTAAAATTGTCTATCGTCGTTATGCTGGTTTATATTTTTGTATATGTGTTGATGTTAATGATAATAATTTAGCTTATCTTGAAGCAATACATAATTTTGTCGAAGTTCTTAATGAGTAAGTTTACAAAGAATCAATCATTAGAAAATATTCAACTTTTATTTTTATCTTTTCAGATTTTTTCATAATGTATGCGAACTTGATTTAGTCTTTAATTTTTATAAAGTATTTCAAAAATATTTTCTAAAATTAATGATTTCTATTTTTTATTAAAGGTATATTCCGTTGTGGATGAAATGTTCTTAGCTGGTGAAATTCGAGAAACTAGTCAAATTAAAGTTTTAAAACAATTAACTACATTAACATCACTTGAATAAAATATGCAATTGATTTATAAAACATTTATCTTATTTGATTGAAATAAAATTTAACCAAAACATTCGAAATATAATAAATATGATTTTCTTTTTAGATATATATAAATAGAATGGGTCGAAAGAATGAATCGGGTCGCAAGAATGAAGTTTCTAATCCATCATCACTTGTTGATCAATATCGTAAACAATTAGGTTAATATTCTTTGTATTAAAATACCATTATATTTTAAAATTGAATTCATAGGTCGCCAAGAAAAAAAGGTGGTTGGCGAACGTCGTAAAGAAATAAAACGGTTAATGTCTGAAAAAGAAACTGTTTCATATTGGAAGGTTAGATTCTATTTTAATAAAAATAAATATAAATACTTTTTTTTCTTTTAGAAAATTATAATGGCACTTGGTGCAGTACTATGTCTTATCTTTATGCTTTACATATCATTTGCGTATTATTTGGCTCCAAAAGATTCATTTTAAATACACATGGCATACTTTTTATTTATTAATAACATTTGGTATTCTGTGCTACCTTTTTTTTTATTTATTGTTATTATTTCATTTTTTTTTATTGCATGGGAATGATTTCTTTAAAAAGAAACTTTTTATTATAGATGTTGTCTAAAACTTTATTAACACGATTATTTAATATTCAATATCCTATCATTCAGGCACCTATGTCTCCATTAACAACACCAGAGCTTGTTGCTAATGTATCGAATGCAGGAGGTATGGGTACAATAGCAGCAGCAAGAATGACAGGTGAACAATTAAGAAATGAAATACATAAAATACGAACATTAACTAATAAACCATTTGGTGTTAATGTATTTATTCCACCAAAAGATATTGAAATTTCATCTCAAGCTATTGAATCCGTACGAAAACAATTAAAAGAATTAGTAATAAATAAAAATTTGCACAATTGTAATATAGATATTGCTTCACTTCCAGTCAAACCAAATAAAGATCTTTTTCCTGAACAAATTGAAGTTATTTTAAATGAAAAAGTTTCTACACTTTCATTTACATTTGGATATTTACCAGATAATATTATAAATAAATGTAAACAATTAAATATTCGTTTAATTGGAACAGCAACCACAGCTAAAGAAGCTATTTTCTTAAAAGATATTGGATGTGATGCTGTTTGTTTGCAAGGTTCAGAAGCTGGTGGTCATCGAGGAAGTTTTCTTACAAGTGATATTGATACTATTGAACAATCAACTATTGGTTTACAATCACTTCTTTCACAAACAACACAATTTATTGATCCAACATCATATCCATTGATTGCGGCTGGTGGAATTATGGATGGTTATGGTTTAATTAATGCATTAACATCAGGTGCATCAGGTGTACAAATGGGTACACGATTTGTAACAGCTCATGAAAGTGCAAAACTTGTTCCTGAAGCTCATCGAAATTTATTACTCGAAGCTAAAAATGATGTGAATAAGCTTTATCCAACAGTTTTAACACGTGCTTATACTGGTAAACCAGCTCGAGGTATACGAACTGCTATTACTGATCATTTCTGTCCTAATGAAAATAAGAATAATGTTATATTACCATGGCAATATCAATCACAACTTGTTTTACCACTATGTAAATTTGCTGCTGAAACAAAACAAACAGATTTTATGCAATTATGGGCAGGACAAAATTATGCACGATGTGAAAATCAATCAGCAACTGCAATTATTCAACAAATTATTAAAGAAGCGAATGATATATTACAATGTAAAAATTAAATTAATCTATTTTCCTTTTTAAAATTAGATATTTTTCTTATTAAGTAATTGAAAGAATAAAAATTTACATATAAACATAAAAAAATTTTAAATAATTTGTAAACGATGTGCTCGATGTTCTGATATAATCATATGATTATTTTTCAATAATAATATATCATAAGGTCCTTGAAAACCAATTTTTGATTGAACAAGTTCAATAATACTAAAATCATGATTAAAAATCATAACACGATTATTTCCTTCATCACAAACAAATAATCTTTCAGTTATATCATCATATGCTAAACCTAATGGACGTGAAAATTCACCTAAAAGTTTACCACGTTGTCCAATTGATAATAAATGTTCACCTTGATTATTAAATATCTGTATCCTATCATTACCCCAGTCGGATACAGCTAAACGATCATTATTTAATATACAAATACAAGCTGGACATTTAAATTCACCATTATTAATACCAAGTCCACCCCAAGCAAGAAGAAATTGTCCTTGCTCATTATATTTTAATATTCTATGACTACCAGCATCACATACAAATATATGATTATCTTTATTGGTACATAAATCACATGGAGCAGAATATTGACTAATCTCACGACCATATTGTCCAATAAGACGAATTAATTTAAAATCACGATTAAATACTTTTATACGACGTTCAGATTGATCAATTAAATAAAGTCGATGTTTTAAATCTATATGAATCGCATATGGATTATGAAAACGTTTTTCTCCTATTTCACTAATTGATTTATAAACATGTTGAAAAATACCATCAATTCCATATGTTACAAGACGATTATTATATGTATCACATACATCTAAATTAAAAATCAATAATAATAATAAAGAAAAGTCGCTTTATTTTTAACTTACATATTAATTGTTCTTGTATTGAAAAAGCTAATGATGATGGATGAATAAATTCTGTATTACGTGTACCTCGTTTACCAATAGTACGTGGAATTCGTTTATGATTTTGTGATGATGATGATGATGAACAACATAAATTTTTATCAGATATTAACGAACTTGAATCATTCTTTTGCTCTGCCGATATTGGATTATCATAATGAATAAGTTTTTTAATTGTGGACAATTGAATCGTACTTTCAATACGTTCAAGCTCAATTCCGATCTCAACAAAACCCAATGAAATAGCATCAAATGATATATCTTGATTATAGAATGAAATCTATAAAATAAGAAATTAAATAATTTGAATTTTTTCTTATGATGATTTACTCGATGATGTGGTGTTTTAACAATCAGTATTTGATTTTGTAGATCATTTAAATTAACAACACAATCTTCACATTTTTTTCGAATATCCATTGATTCTTCATCTGTTTCTTCTTTACTATAAAATTAACAAAAAAGAATATTATTAAAAAGACTTCTAACTTTTCTACCTGCGTAATTTTTCTTGAGATATTGAACAAAATGTTTTAATGCTTGCAAGATTTTGAAGACGAATATTTTTTTCTTTAATTAAACTTTGTTCATTACTATGAAATTCATTAACAATATCAAGTAATTTATTTTCTTCTTGTTTTATTCTATCAATAAGTTCAGTCACTTTTTCTTTTATTGTATGAATTATTTCATTTGAATGACGAACATTTTCTTCATGAATTTTTATATTTTCAGCTTAAATTATTTCGAAAAAAAATTATGATTTATTTTTTATTCTTTTTTTGCATCTACCTTCTTTCGCAATTAATTTTTCTGTTTCTTGTTGAGTTTCATTTAATTTTAAACAAATATATTTACTAAATTCATCATAATGATTTCGACGACATTTATAACATATGGCTTCACGACAATGTTCACATACCTATGTATATATATTATAAATCAATTAAATTATTCAATAGTAGTATTCTTTATTAAAATACAGTTATTGTATCATCCAATTTACAAAGAGCACATTTAGCTTGAAGCATAGGTCGTAATTCCGTATGTGAAAGACTTTCAAGTAAATTAACAATTGTTCGATTGACTTCAAATGAACCAATACCAGCCATAGGTACGCGATAACATCCACGACAAATAGGACCTATGTATTTTCGATAAAATTTTCAAGAAAAAAAAGAAAAGAATTGCTTACATCGACCCCAACGATCTTCTGTAATTCGTACAAGGCATGATTTACAAAATGTATGTTGACAAGGTAATTGTAATGGTTCATGAAAAATTTCAAGACATATTGGACTTAAAGAAAAAAAGAAAATAATTATTTGTTTATATAATTTAAATATTTACCATGTAATTAATTGAAGAATAGGTTTTGAATTTAGATTTGATTTTGTTGTACTTGTATTTAAACTATTATTGATTACGTCTGACATGATCAATCAAGTTTTATTGATTAATCGTACTTTTGTTTTTTTTTTACCAATCTTAATAAAATAAGAATAACACATACCTAGTATTTGATGTCAGAATATATATCCTTTGCAGGTGTTTATGAACTTTATAAAGAAGACAAGAAAAGAAGAGAGCAAACTGTAAATATTAGAAAAAATTCGTCATCAACCACAATAATAATCACATAGAAAGAAAGAATGAATAAAGTTGAAATTTATATGTTTTTAACTGGTATAAACTATCCATATGATCAAATGCATCAGCTGGCATCATATAGTTTGCTTCTCTTCTCATATATATATATATATGCGCTCGTTCAATCGATTAAATAAAATGAATGTTTGTAATGCCAGTCATAAGATTAGATCACCACTATCGTTAACATAAGTATTTCTTCAATGATGAATGACTGATATTAATACTAATGTTTCTAATGATTATGTAATGTAAAAAAGAAAAAGAAGAAAGATGATTAAATGAATACATATACATGTGTAGATGAAGGTCTTTTCGTCTGCTTTAGGTGATCCTCAATAATTTTGTTATAAATATCTAAGAGAGGTTGTTGCTCTTTGATATTTATTAAATATGAAAATGATACATTACGATGAAAGTATTGTCAGTACAAAATTTAAAATATACATAGACTAGACTACTGAAATCTAATGATAATGTTAATAAGATGCATGTATGATGTTGAATTTAACAAATGAATGTGACGAAAATGATCCTTCTTCTTCTTCTTCGTCGTCTTTTTTTTCTTACTGAATAATTGAATTCTTCTTCCAGATGTACAACAATTGAGAAAAACGTATTGTCTATATTCGATCAATCAGAAAATAATTTGTTCTGTCTTCTCATTATTTTGCATACATATGTGTATATATAATGTATAAGTCTGGAATACAAATAGACACGTAAACATTGTTGAGATTTTTTGTTTTCTTTTCATTGTTTCTAACTGATAAGAGTGTTAGAAAAGTGTTTACGATACGTGATCATATGAATAAAATTTAATTGATAAAGAATAAGTATGTCGGTGGGAATTTTATTCATCATTCAATTACAAGATCATACTACACTATTAATGAGATTGACTGTAAAAGATTTCTTGTATATTGATAAAAGAAATATTATTATAATCTATTTTGATTTGACCTTTGATAATATGCTATTATTTTATGAAAACATCACATTTAGATTAGAATTCAACTTTTATAAAACAATGCTTATTAAATGACAATTTTATGGATTCATAGAAAAAAACTAGCTAACTTAATGTATGATAGAGAACACAATATTTTTCGATGACTTAGATTTGAGATTCCTTATGATATCTTCATGTGATAAGTTAGAAATACATTAAATTGATAAGTTTTTCTATTTTGCCTATTGAAAGATTATTTATTGTCATCAATGACTAAGATTGAAATTTATTTGAAGTTTTTCTAACGATAGAAAAGTTGTATGTATCTCAAAATTTTTCACAAGAAATAGACTTATATGTTATTAATTAAATATTATTCCGTAAAAAATAACAACTTTATTCAAGTTTACAAAAGAATATGAGGATGTGTGCAGGTCTGACTGCAGTTATTTAGAAGAAACAGATTGTTAATCATGCCAGTATTCTCAACCATTCATCCACATCGACAGCCATCGCACTCATATTCATCCTCACTGTATAAAAATAGAGGCTGTATATAATATATATGATAATATAGATACTGAGACGTAGTTTAGTTAAGTTGGCAGTTACGTGTGAGATATGGAATGGTATTTTAGTTGCGAGCAGGATCATGCATAGCAGGTGGATGAACATGATGGTGAGTGCAGTGTTGAATAACTAAAGATTGTTATGTCGTTGCCATGAACGAAGCGACTCGTTTTGTGAATACCCGCACAACTTACAAGTTTCATAGAGAACAGTTACATTTTTGTCAAAATTCAATTTGCAATAAAAAGACCATAGAATATATTTGACCATATAAATAAAATAATATAAGTGTTTTGTGTTTAAACAGCATTATCTTGTCAATTTTTACGAACTATAATGTATGCAACAATAAAAAAATTTTCAACGTTTTAATCTTCAACAACATCAAAAGTGAGAGTAGAACGAAAAAAATGACTTTGATATTCTTTTCATCTTCGTTAAAAATACTTTACCACTCCTTTTGCGTTCTTTGTTTATTACTCATAAATATCTATATTGATCTTTCTTATTTTTCATAACAACATCCATAGTTGCTACCGAAGAAGGCATTGTCGCCCAATTGAAAATGATAGAAAAAAAATCTAGATAAGAAGTAGAAACCTTATAAAATGAGCCACTTTCATAATTCTTTCATTCACATGTTTTTTCAAACTACTTGGATACATCACATTCATATCACAAATAACAAATAATCAGTCAATGGCAACTAGCAAATCAAGTGATACAAAAAAAATTCATCCAACATTTGATCTATCCACGCGTGCAACTGCAAATCGACGCATGAACATGCAAAGAATGCAAAATACCCTCCTGATTTGGTTAGATAACAATATTAGTGATAATAATGCTGATTGTAATAATACAATCAAGGAATTGAAATGCGTAGTTAACAATATAAGCACGTTTACAAATGGTGAAGAATGTGTTGAATTTATTCAAACCATCACCAACAACAAAGCATGTATGATTGTTTCTGGTTCACTTGGGAAATATGTTGTGCCTCATGTGCATGACTTGTCCCAAATAGACACTATTTTTATTTTTTGTAATAAAAACAATCACGAATGGCATCAACAATGGACCGAAGAATGGCCTAAAATAAAAGGAATTTTCACAGATATAACATCAATCTGTGACGCTCTCAAGCAAACTGCTCGCCAATGTGAGCAAAATGCTATCTCAATCAGCTTTGTGGCATCAAACAAAAAGTTGGATCAATTAGATCCATCATTTATGTATACTCAGATCTTGAAAGAGATCTTATTAACCATCGAGTTCGAAGATAAGCACATTAAAGAATTTATTACTTATTGTCGTACTGCACTTGTCGAAAATGAGTATGAGTTACAAAATATTGAAAAACTGGAACATGATTATCATAATCATGTACCTATTTGGTGGTATACTTATCTATGTTTTTTATATCGTATGATCAATCATGCATTAAGATCAATGGATGTTGATATTATTGTTCGAATGGGTTTCTTTATTAAGGATCTGCATCGTGATATTCAACGACTCCATTCAGAACAATTTGATGGTGAACAATCTAGTAATAAATTTACAGTTTATCGTGGACAATGTCTCTCAAAAGAAGATTTCATTGAGATGATAAAAACAAAAGGTGGACTTCTTTCATTTAATAACTTTTTATCAACTAGTAAAAATCATGATGTCTCTCTCTTATTTGCACCGCAAGCTGCTATAAATTCTGAGTTTGTTGGAATTCTATTTGTTATATCAATTAATCCAACGGATTCAACAAGTCCATTTGCTTCTGTTAGTGATGTTAGTTATTTTCATACAGAAGATGAAGTTCTCTTTTCTATGCATACCGTTTTTCGTATTGAAGATATTCAAACAGTAGATGGAAACAATCAGCTCTATCAAGTGAATTTAACATTGACCAATGAAAATGATCAAGACCTTCGAACTCTTAGCGACCAGATTCGGCAGGAGACCTTTCCAGATGAAGAAGGATGGTATAGGTTGGGATTATTACTGATTAAAATGGGTCAATTTACCAAAGCTCAAGAAATTTATCAAGTTTTACTTAATCAAGCAGCAGATGAGAGTGATAAGGCATCGATTTATTATCACCTAGGTTGGATCAAATACAATCAAGGAGAATATCAAGAAGCACTTTCATCTCATGAAAAAGCTCTTACAATTCGACAACAGTTACTTCCTTCCAATCATCCTGATTTGGGAGATTCCTATAATAGAATCGGTATTATATATGACAGCATGGGTGATTATCCAAAAGCACTTTCATATCAAGAAAAAGCCCTTGCAATTCGACAACAATCACTTTCTTCCAATCATCCTGATTTGGCGAAGTCTAGGTGACTTTGGTATAAAATAGGTTTATTCTAATATAGCAATACAATATATTATTTAACCATTTTATTGATCTATACAATAATTGAGTAAAATTCAGGAGACATCAGTAGTATGATGTGGAGAAAAAATTATCAAATTCTTTTAGTGTGGATAAAGCACCACGTACAAAGTAAGTAGCTATGGCTATTTGATTATTAATTTCTGTTTTATCACCACTAGCAATTGCATCTATAATAGTAGGAAAACCAAGTGCAGCGTATCGATTAGTTTTAGGTGGAGCATAAACGATATGTCTTAAATAAAAATGAGAAAATAAATTTTGTTACGTAAATATTAATATGTACTTAAAATCAGTATGATCACTATCTTGTCCTAATGGATTTAAAAATGCACGTTCTAATTGTAATAATTGATCATTATATGCACGAATTATATATGGACTAAAAAAAATAAAAATAAATCTTATTCTATTTTGATCGTCATAACAATAAACATACTTTTCTGTATCCATTACTTTTGATCGTCTAACAAAATCTTGAGCAGTTTTATCAAAATCATCAATAGCACTTCGAAGTGGATCTAATAAAAAGAATTTGAATCCTTGTATTATACAATACAAAAAAAAAACAATCAATCTATACTAAGAATTGTAGGATCATTTATTTTAAGATTATTCATTGTTTGTCTAAGAGCAAATGTATAACGTGTAACATTTAATTGAAGAATAGGTGTTTCTGATAAAAGTAATATTAAAACACCCATAAATTGTCCCATTGTTCTATGTGCCTAAATAATAAATCATTAAATATTAAAAATAAATATATATTTGAGAAAGTTTTTACTGTAAAATCTGGATCAATAAATTTTTTCATCATCGAAAAGACTTCATATGAAGTATGATAAAGTGGATATGAACCTGGATTTCCATGTATAGTTGAATCAAATGTATATCTTGCATCCATACCTGATGAACCAACCAATTGAACAAAACTGAAATAGTCACTACCCGCTGCAAGACCATAATTGATACTAAATAAGTACAATTTTATAATTGTGATGATAAATTAGTTTTTTGGTTTACTTAGGTTCATTGGTAATATTATTTCGATCAACTTTCATCCATCTATCATAAACAGTTTGACCAGCAAGATCATATGCACTTGGCACCTATATGTCAAAATAGAAACAATATCATACGATGACATTCATACTCACCATTTTTGATGCTTCAATAACAATATCAAACAATAGTGGAGAAGTGTTTACACGAAGTTTATAGTTTCCTTCGACCGCAATATCTATATTTAAGTATGAAATAATTCGAGCACCAAGTACTTTAACATATTCCTGTAAAAATAAATCTTCGTTAGATGTATATTTACTATCCAGAAAATAGATACCTCAACATATTCAACTGATCCTATGAGTCCAAATTCTTCAGCACCCCATGAACAAAACATTAAACTACGTCGTGGCCGAAATCCTATTATAAATTATATATATATATATCAATTCAACCTAAATAAGAAACAAAAATACCATTTTTATACATTTCACCTATAGCTCGAGTCATTTCGAGTAAAACTGCGGTCCCACTAGTTGGATCCAGTGCGCCCAAACTCCAAGCATCTCTATAATGTACATTAATTAATTAAAACATCATGATGGCATATATACTTTACCGATGATTGCCAAAAACAATATATCGATCTGAAAAAAACAATACTTTTACTTTGATGAAATTCATATTTAATTCTATATACCTGGTTCAATTTCGCCTTTCATAATACCGATTACATTATATGTATCTTTTCTCTCTTGTCTATTGTATGTTCGAACTTCGATTTTACTATGAACAAAAATCAAATCATTTTCTCACAACTACAAAAAAAGCTGCATATCTTACGTTGAATCTCGAAGAATTCCACCATAACGATAAACCACATTTGGTAATGCTCCACTCCAATCTTTTGTTACGTTATCACCTTGTATATATCTAAATATATCATTCATTCATTCAAAAAAACAACAAAATATCTCTTCTTACTGAAGTATCACTTGTGCTTCACCATAACCAATGGGTTGAGCGGGAATTTTAATTAAATATTTCAAACTTTCTTCTTTAACTCTATACATATAGTCTATGAAATGTAAATACATAGTAAATCTATGAATAGAAGTATGATTGTATTATTAAACCTGTCGAAGGATAAATAGGTGTCAAAGGATCACCATTTGCAGTATATGTAGATCCTCTTTGTGCACCACTTGGTGGCATATACCATTTTTGATCATACACTTGATCTGCTGATGTTCCAAATGGAGCATAATCAATTGGATCACTATATAATATTGCACCAACTGCTCCATAATACTGAGCATTCATTATCTTAATATTAACAAAAATAATTTATATACATATTAATAAGATTGTAAAATCAACAACATACTTTATCTCCTCGAAAAATTTTACCATATCTCATAATAATAATACTACCTTGTAAACTAGCATTTCCAACAATCGATGCCAAATATTTAAGATCTTCAAGTCGACCATAGTTACCATAGTATAATTTCGTCTATCATAATATATCATAAAAAACCAATCAACCAATCGATAATATTCATTTTTCACTTACACTAGAAACAGTACCATTAGGTGTATATGCAAGAAATGGATTAACTGTTTTTGGTTGTGTTATATCATAGACTTGTTCAGTACCATTTGTTTGAATAATAATAGTACCAGAACTACTAGTAAGAGTGACTCTAAATAAAAATGAAAAATAAAGAAATGTCGCATTTGTTATTGTTGATATACCGATTTGGATTATTATCATCTGGATAAGAAAGAAGAACATTGTATTTTGGTTTTGTAACTTTTAGTCCATCATTTATCCATCGTTGTTCTATGACAATAGCACTAGCTAAATCTTCAGGTAGACCAGCCATATGTGGACGTGAAGTAAGATCTCTAGATAATGATAAATATTTATTATTAAGTATATGAAAATATTGTTTATTTTACTTGAGATTTGCTTCAATATTTGCTGATTGAATAGAAGAAATAAAAGTTTGATAATTTTGTTGATCTGCATTACGTGTCAGATAATCATACTTTGCTATTGTACTACTTGTTGTTTTTTTTATTGCAAAATGACCAATAATGATACCAAGACCGAATGCAATAGCTACTGTAGCACCGACACTAATTAGTATAAACTAAGTGAAATTATAAATCAATATCAATTTAGATAATTTGATGAAATCTTACCTTTGTAATCATAGTTAAAAGGCGTTTTAAGTCTTTTTTTTATTATTCAATACATATTACAATGTTTATCAGTGACAGTGAATGAAGAATTAAAGAGCTTTTATATGACTTTTTTTTATCTTTATTAGTGCTCTTTTGTTTCGTTTTTCTTTGTCTATAGTTTTCATGTGTGAAAGACAAGGCAGATGTTTCTTTTAAACAGCCGTAAAAGAGCAATGAAAGGTTATCATTTATACGCGTAGATTAGGTATAGGTTTTTCTTGTTAATTCAATTATAGAAAAATTGAAAGACTGAAGAGTAGCAACAAATAAAATACAGTGGCACTACAAGACAAAATTCTTGTTAGAATATGTAAAGGGACAGATTAAACAGAGAATTACTTTGAAAAAACATTCGTGACTTTAACAGGAAAAAAAAATAATATAGGTTAAAGTTTTTCATAGCATTCTTTATTGAAGGTACAAATACGAATAACATTTATGACATTTGCTTCTGTTTTTTTTTGTAAATAAATAGGCAGTATTGTAAATACGAATATTCAAGTTATTAATGTATTTAATATATTCATTTTAAAATTCTTCATTTCATACGATCAATAGCCTAAGAAGGAAACGATATAAAGACTCATTTAATAATGTATATTTTATTTTTATTAACTGATTATAATATTTTCTCTTCATATTTTCTGTATGAATAGAACCGACGAAGGCTCTGGTATCATTGCTTAAATAAAAATAGTTTATTTAGTTAAACTATGGTGAATATTTTCAGTTTCTTCTTTGATTAACTGAATTTTGCACCATTCTTATACATCAGAATGAAAGCAAGATATACTTTCACTCTCAACATCTTTATTATTAATACGATGCGAAGCATCCTATATTGAGATGTGGGTGAGCATTCGGATGTAGACAAAGAGAAGATGCATCTACAGACTTGCTCACACCCATACTCATCCACCCTCAAACGGATGTACATGATCGGGATTTTCTTAGAAAACTTTTGTACTTTTACGAATGTTTATTTTATTTTTTATGCATTTTTAATATTTAATTTAAGATTGAAAGATTATTTACGACAAATCGTATCAAATAAAATGAATAGATAGAACAGAATTATAAAAGACTTGGACACACGATCAACTGAAAAGGTGTAGACAACAAAGAAAATATTTACTAAACGACAGAGATGAATATTGAATGCTAGAAAATAAATGTTCAAGAAACTAGTGTGATAGTCAAGTTCTTGCAATGGCTGAAACAACGTTTTGACGATTTCTTTTGCAAACGATCAATGTTCGAAGTTTTTGTTTTAAGTCCGGCAATGTTAAAAGAACGGCATAAGTTACAATCATCGATGGAATATCTGTCATTGGATACAAGTATACACTAGCGATATCGTTGCCCCATGTATTCATTCCGAATTGCTGTACAAGATGAACTAGAGTTGAAGGCATATTAAAGATTAGATAAGTGCCAGTAACAAGAATGTACTGAATGATTAGTCTTCGATATTTTTTCCATCCTGGTGTTTGTTGTAACCGACGTTTTTGTATAATTACACGAAGAATGAGGACAGCATCGAGCAAGGCAATAAGAAGAATTGGAGAGAAGTTATGGACAACCGTTATATACCAACGAACCGTGTTCTTAATCGATCTACGATAGCAAGGACCACCACATGCGAAACTCGTCATGACGTAAGTTGGTGTACAAGGATAAAGAAAGATCATATAAAAATAGAAAACTAGTGGGTAAAGAGAAAACAGAATCAATGGAATATAATGAAATAGTAAACATCCACGTTGCGTGGAAACTAGAAAAGAATAAAAGATGAGAATGTGTCTTTCGATAGATACCCAAAGCATTGGAAAAACTGCACCATAACAAATTCCAAAGTCCACGAATTGAATAACGAGACAAAATGTCGAAGTAAACGGCAAAACTATACCTCGTCGATGGAAATCTATTCCTGTTGTCAGGCCCAATGTTAAATACACAAAATTGAAGAACAGCATTACAATGATGGCATGATTTTGAAGTAGTTTTCGATCAGTTTTCTTACGCAAAAGATGAAAAAATACAAATAAGTAACACGGAATTGCCAACACTTCACCGAGTACATACAAACCAAATTTAATTTGTGCCCAGTTAGGTGGGACATAAACACCTTTGAGCATAATAGTGCTCATTTTTCTTTACCTGTTTGTTTAAATCTGAAACGTCAATGTCAAGTTATATGATCATAATATTATTAGAGTTAAATAGTTTGATAAGATGAAGTGAAAGATGAAGAAAATCGGTGATTTTAGCTAGAAATAACACTAGTATCTATAGGTGAGATTAATAAAGGAAAAAATTCGTCGAGAAGTTTCTTCTCTTTATTAAGTTCGTGAAGAAAGACAGACAATGAATCGATGTTCAGAAAGGTCACACAAGAACATAAGTATCTTATATATGAAAGAGAAGCAAGATATGTATGAGAGAGAAAAATGTAAGTATGTAACAATTATTCAATGAAGAAGCTCTTCTCTTTAAGAAAATAACGCATACACATGAATAGATAATTAATTTTCTAAATTTGACAAAACACAATTATGACAAGGCACTCGTGCAAAAATAAATTGTTAATAGAAATAAAATTGTTACATTTAACAAACTAAAGATTCATCGCTCGTTTGGACTTCTATGTGATGAAAAATTTATGTTTTCATAGATTATGAGCAAATAAACAAAATTTATCTCTTACTAGCTTAGTCTGATTCACTTTTCCTTCGCTTTAGAAAACTCTTAGAAGGATTTCCATGGATTTATAATATCAAGTTAGATCAGCTGCAAGCATGTTCTCAGAGTACTCATTTATGATTATCGAATAAAGCGCATAATTTTTTCCACTTTGCACATGTCTCTTTTAATTTTTATCTTATAATAAAAATTTGTAATGACGCACTTTAATTTATTTATCTCTCATGGCGTATTGCTTCAGACACGAGATATATGTGAAACTTCTCTATGTACAAATAATCTGATCATATCAAAGAAATCTTCTCCAAATATCAGTTTGGATCCCTTTTTTGTACATTTCAGGTGAAATTATCGAATTTAATTTCGCAGTTAATGAGAATAACTAGAATCCTGTGAGACTATTTATAAAAAATTAATATTCCTAATTTGCTTAATTCATATATCAAAACGTGTCGTCAATTTGATGTTTCTTATTTCTAACAAATATTTTAATATTTAAACAAAAAACATAATAGAAAAACACAGGATGTACTGATTATCAGATACCTTCGACGCTCACCTTTTTCATTTACTTTTAACAGTTGTTTTACTGCTATGATAACTTACAGACATCACCTAGTTTAATCCATGTAAAAATAAAAGAACGTTTAACGATACTTTTTCGAGTTTAACGACGTTACACGAAAATTTTCTCATGCACATTCATTATTTTCTTTAATTTCGCAGCAATACAGCAGCTTTTTTACGAATACTCAAGCGCTAGTGATCTTGTATCGACAATTAACTGGTTAAATCTGGTGAAACACTCTTGTAACTTTAACGCTTGAGATACGTTAACGCGTTTTATCGAATGAATTTGTTTTCATCATAAAACTTATTATTATATATACGTAGGTGTTTCCCTACTTTAATGAACGAGATACTTTAGCATGTTTTATAGAATGAGTTTGTTTTTCATCATTAAAACTTATTATTTATAGTTGCATGTTACATTGGGTACATCGACAGTTGAGCCTCAGATATAGAAGAAATTAGAGAACACAAGAAAATAGTATTACTTCACCGGAATAACATTAATATTAAAAATTAAACAGAGCGTGTACTCTTTTGAAATACATTTCTATTGTAATAAAATGAAAAGAAGATACTAGAGGAATGTAGATGTTGTGGAGAGTTTTATAACTGAGATTTTTTTAATAATAATAATAATAATAACAGATAAATACATAAGAAATTGTGTCGATTACATAAATAAACGATATATATTTCGAAAAGTTATTTGTTTTACTAAAGATGACTGATTGAATCAAAGAAGGCTATTCCAACTGACTATTAGTACTATCGAAAGATTTCGTACATCTGTGTGCTTCACTTTAAAATTCATCTAATAAATCACATACGAATTTTCTGTGTTCTCTATTATCTGCTCTAGACTGCATTTCGAGTCATAACTCAGCATTATCTAGTATGAGATATGAGATATGAAATATCGAAAATGAAAACCAGTCATTTTAGGATCATTTTCTCTAAGCAAAGTCTGAATTAAAAAAAACAGGATAGTGTCATTTCTATCTCTACCACATCCTATTCAATTATGATACAGCACATTGAGTTTTGAACATTTTACTAGAATATATTTATAAACATGTGTTGAAACTGAATTTATGTAAAACAAAAAAAAAAGATGCTATTTATTAATAAAGAAAAAAAACAAAAACAAATTAAAAAATTTCTTTTCTTTTCTTTTATGATTCTTCAAGTAATAATTGTCGACATTCAAACGAAGGAGAATGACTATTAGAATTAAATTGTGATTCATCATCTATCATTTCATTGAGTGTTATATTCGGGTCTATATTTGTTCTTAGTTCATAAGATGAATTATGTATTCGAGTATATTCATAATCATCATCCAATTGCCGATTCTTACGTTTTAACATTAAATATAAACATAAACAACAACTTATTGCAATACAAATAATAATAATTACAAATGAAACAGTATAAATTAAATTCTCATTGAATGGATGTAAAACAAAATTAGAAGAAAAGATTTTTTCTACCTAAAACATTCAAATAAATAGAGAATTTATTAAATTTAATCCAACTTACTGAATCAATAAAATGAAATCTTTGTGAAATACTTTTTCGAAAACAGTTTTGATTCAAATTAGTCGAATGATACCAAGCTAAAATAGGTACTCTAAGATAACAAAAATAGAATATATATACTTCTAATGAAAAATTTTTGTTTTGAACTTACTGAGATAAAAAAGACATATTACCATTACATTGACTATATAGTTTACCAAATATATCACTGAATATTTGACATTCCGATATGCAACCATCAAAGCCAGTAGATATAGCATCATAACATATCTACATATATCAGATAGAAATGCACTTTCATTTTTTTCTCTAATTGGTAATAAATCTAACAATCGATTACCTCAAGTTGAGACCAAAATGCATAGAGCATATGAATAAAATAGACGATTCCTTCTATACATTCAGTTGAATTCCAATTTTGTTGATTATTATAAAGTGTACATAACATTGGTAATAATTTTACTGTTAATATACTGATATTCTAATTAAATATATATATATTCGAAATAAAAATATATAATTTATCTATTTTTACCGTATTTAAAAGTATTGGACATGTTTCTATAAATACTAATAAACGCGAATGACATTGTTCTAATGAACAAAATGAATTTCCACGTTCTCGTATAATCTGATTAGTTAAATAAATATTATCTTGAGATAAATTTTTCAAACACCAATCAGTAGATAAACAAAATTGACTGAGATTTTGTACAATTGTTTGATTAACAAGTGAATTATAGATATGTTGTAATGTATGAAATTCTATATAGGATTGACGTATTAATGAATTTGTATTATTATCAATTGAATATATTTCACATATATCATTTAATTTCATATTTGAATCACATTGTTTTATATGAATCAGTATATCCATATGACGATATGAATTTATTTGATCAATAAAAGATTTTATAGAAAATTTTTTTGTCTCATAATCAGCAGATATTGTTGATAATGTTTCAAGTAATTGAGATGATGAAAATATATTTGTTGAATTTTCAAGATTGATCGATGAATTTGTTGACAAAGATTTATTCATAACGGAAGTGTTTAAATAAATGAATTCATCTAAATATATATATGGTGTTTATTAAATCTTTCTTCTAAATCACTTACTAAGCTTCTCCTCATCTGATTGTACACCTGTCGAATCCTTGATGACAATTATTAAAATGAATAATATTAAAATTTGACTTGTATACTGTACAATATAAATCATGACGATTTCTTACGTACTTCAAAATGAATAAAAGAGAGAGAGAGGCAAAAAAGGAAACTCAATATTTATGCATAATCTATTGCACCAGCTGCTTCAATGCAAACAAAAAAAGCGACCTATGTATAATATATTAATCATTTTTCTTCCTTTTTTTTGTCTCGTATGTCGTGTGATGATTTAAGTCATATATAAAACGTTTCTATACTTTTCCGGTTCTATTCTATCTTCAATCAAAGCCGCATAATTTGTTCGTGTTATGAATATGATCATATTTCAATAGAATGGAAAATACACTTGATTTCAAATTGATTATTGATATAAACATGATGTAAAGGCAGAAGGTCAATTCATTTAAAAGACAATCACAACAGATATATATATAGATTGATCGATCATTATTCATGCTAAATGAATTTTACTAGATAGACGTAGTTAGTGTCACATTTGCATGCAGATGTTTTGTTCCAGGTGCCTCATGCTATCATTCAAGACAGAGTGTTAATAATAGTGTATGTGATTTTTTAATTCACTGAGAAAAAAAAAGAAAAGCAAGACAAAAAAAAAAAAGGATAATATACAACAAAACAATAGAATGTATCGATGCATGTTTTTTTTTCTTCATTATATGTTAGTAAGGTAATGATGGTGAAATGGCAGTAGATGCTGTGCTTGTTACTGATAAACCGCCTGTTCCAGTTGATGTTGTACTTGCTGTTGGACTAACCCAATATGATGATGAAAGATATGGATTTGCTGTTGGAAAATTAGCTGTATAGTCATATGTATTAGGATGATTCCAATAGTTTGTATATGCTGTTGAAGCAACAGCAGCAGCAGCAACGGCCGTTGTTGGATGATGATGATGATGATGTGGCATATGAACTGCTGATGTTGTTGCTGCTGCTGAACTTAATGCACTCCATTTAAAATAAGCTGCATGAGCTTGTGATGAACGCATCATTTCTTGTTGATATTTTGTATAAGGTGATTCAGGTAATTGTGGTTGATTTAATTGATGTAAACCATTAAAATCAAATTTATATGCATAACGTTTACCATGTACTTTTGTCATAATATTTTTATCATAATAATAACGTAATGCACGAGATAATTTATCATAATTCATATTAGGTTTAGATTTACGTTCACCCCAACGACGTGCAACTTCATCTGGATCAATTAATTTAAATTCACCATTCGAACCTTCCCAACCAATAATTGCACTTGCACTTGTATCCGATAAAAGTTCAAGTAAAAATTGCCATAATTGTATTTGACCAGTACCTTAACAAATAGAGAAAAAAAATAAAATTTTGAAAATAATATTTTAATTTTAATTATATACCTGATGCTCCACTACCAAATCTATGACCATTATGAGGAAAAAATGATTGACTAGAAAATGTTGAATAAGGATCTAGAAAAAAGAATTATTTATGTAAAAAAAAAAGTAAGTTATATTTTTATATCATCTACCTCTTAGTCCATGTGGAGATTCAGATTTAACTAATGACGACCAAGATGATGACTGTTGTTGTTGCTGTTGTTGTTGACCTGTATTTGAATTGGAATCATTAGCATTATTATTACGTCGTGATCCATTATCATAGTCATTTTTAAGTCTAGAATCACCACCAATATTTGTTGATGATGTTGATGATGATGTAGATGAAGGAGTTGTCGTTGTATGATAACCAACTAGAATAAAATAAATATAATTTAATGAAAATGTAACTTATTAAAAATTTATTTATTTAATTAAATCTATACATCTTTCAAGCATTGCTCTAATCTTTTTCTCGACACTTGAGATAAGCCAAAACGTAAAGATAAATGCATTTTTTTTTCTCAAATATTATTCTTTCTATATATATAGTTTTAACAAAGTAAAGAAAAAAACTTACAACTATTGGAAATGTTCGATATTGTACCGTTAAAACCTAAAGATGTCCATGTGTGTGTTGATGGTTCTATAATATATGGTTATTTTAAAAATTTGTTTCATGTTCTTAGATGATGTATTTCTAAAGTAGTCTTTCTTCTTACTCAACTCAACTCAACTGAACTCGAATATATATCTAGTAGGAAAGATATTAGTTTATAATAACTAAAGCAAGACAAATCAATGTTGTCATTTTTTCTTCTTCTTCTGCTTCTTCTTCTTCTTTTTTTTGAAAACGGAAAAACTTCGATTCCTGTTCGTGCGTATATGAACGCATAGACTGAGTTGAAGGCGGACGGAAATCTTAGCTTCCTTACATTAAACGAGTCGCTTACCAGTAAGCATGATGTGTCGATGTTGTTATATGTATGTGTATATCTCGTTGTAGGACGAACGAGAAAAGAGGACGCCTTTAAGTCCCGGACTTCCTTAAAATCGTGTCGACGACCGACGGAGAAAAAAAGTTTTTACGGAAATGCAATGGACGATTAAGAGAGATTGAATCTCCGTTGTTACTGCCGTTTGATTTCTTCGTAGAAGTTGACGACAACGTTCAAGCAGCAATGACGAATGAGACGTAGAAGGAAGCAGGAACTAAGGCTTTTCCGTCTCTCTCTCTCTCTTCTCCCTTTTTTTTCTCTCTTTTTTTTATGAAAAAAAAACATTTTAACAATGTGTATGCGTGTGAGTGTCGGCATATTTCTACATGCTTGCACGTCCAATGGAAATTTTTCACCAATCATAATGATTCTTCTTCTGTTAAGATGAGCCTATCTACACATATATGTGTGCTCGTTCTCTTTCTCGTTGAACAACAAATTTCATGTTAAGAAACGAGAAGCAGAAGAAGAAGAAGAAGAGGAAAAAAAAGAACGATTGGATGAATGTCATATTTACGTAAAAAATAACAAATGACAAGGTTTTATGTGAGAATATTTTTTTGTCTAAATATATTCTGTAAGTTCTTCATTATGTCAAAAATTAAATTTAGTCTCGTACTAACTAATTCTTTTGTTCATTTGTTTTGACGACAACGGAAATAACCGTCTCTTTCTTTCTTGCTTGCTTTCTTCATTTACTAGTTTTTATTCTATGCTCATATTATCTATTCTATACTAGGCAAAGTTCAAGCATCTATAGCCATTTCCTGTAGAGGAACTGGCTACATTGCTTTTTTCTTTCTTGAACTACTACATATATATATATAACTTCTGGCATCTATGTGTTTAAAAATATAGACAAAAAAATCTGTGTGCATGTGTACGCGTGAGTATGTAGGGAAAATTGATTTCCGGCATAGAGCAAAACTCCATCAGTGCACTGTGGTCCATTAGAGATCGATGTGAAGAATAAAAAACTAAGATATTTTTTATGCTGTCAGGTGTGTAAAATAGAATATAACAATTTGATTTTAAATAATTATAACAGATTGGTGAGAGAAAAAAAAGAAGAAAACTAGTGAAAACATGGAAGAAAAGTTAGTCAATATTAGAAGAAGAAGAAAAAAAATGTAAATTAACAAGAATGTATAGGTGGAAGAGTGATGTCTTCAAATTGCATACGAAATGAGAGACATTTCCGGTGATGTTAGTCAAGAAGCTTTTTTACTTGCGTGTTGAATGTCAATAACATCTTCTTCTTTTTTTTGTGTCTATTGACATCGTCTTATACATTTAATTTTTGAAATTTTCTAAACTGAACAACTAATAAGATCTAATCTCATTACTAATTTAATAGTCATCGTACTATGTTTAGATGTATATATTTTTTTTTATTAAGTTTTCGAAATCTCGAGTATTGATTTAATTAACTTTCTCTTTCCCATCTATTGACTGTAGATTTATTTATCATTCAATTGTAATAAGTATATGTATATACACACACACACACGCATATGTATAAGTTAATCGTCTTTCGTTATTTTTTTCTCTCAATTGCATAATCAACATTGCTATCGATGATTATTATCGATATGATGTCAATATGAGACCTGCCCTGCCCATCAAATATTAGTTTCGTGCACACGCGATGATGCAGGTGATTTATTTTTGAGCACGTGAATAGATGGCAAAGCTAATTAGGCTAAATATTTGTCCTATAACAATGATGATGATGATGATTTTCTTCTTGAGAAAAGACGTTTGATCTGTTGGAAAAAAAATAATAGGCCTTCTTCTTCTTCTTCTCCTTCTTTGTTGTTTGATAAAAAGAAAAGAAGATGGAGGAAATACCTTAACATTCAAGTGTAAATAATGCCCTATTAAAAATTCGCTTCAATGAATAAGGAGAAAGAAATAATTATGGCACGTGTTAGATTTTCCTAGAAAGACAAAGGTGCGTGTGCGAGCGGCGAATATATACTAAATTGCTCTTACATCACGGCTGATTGACAGACGACCACAACAATATTGTTCGTTGATGAATAACACGCGCTAATCATTCAATCAATCGATGCAAGGTCAACTGAACTCGACAGGAGGTACTCATTCTCATAAAACATTTAAATATACAGTTCAATATAACCTTTTTTTTCTTTTCTTCAATAATTTATCAAATGATGAGCTTAAAAATCAGGGGATTTAATCAATTCACAAAATAATAATACAACATAAATGAATTTGACTATATTATACTAGTCATATCGAATTAAAAGAGTGTTCATGATAAGTCATTCTATATTTATTTATTTTCATTGAATTTATTTTAACAAGAATTTCTATAGCATGAATTGTATTGATGTCTAATGCTTTGTTAGTTGAGGATATATATATGTATGATTAGTATTGCAATTGATCGTTGTAAATGGATAAAATAGCCTTAAGTCAAAAAGAAGGTGGAATTCCTCTGATTTTATTATTAACATTCAATGTTACTTAGGTCAAACTGTCCATCATATCTCATGATTTATTTAAAGCAGTCATTTGGAAAAGAAAGCAAGCAAGCAAAAAACTCCACCTCCTTTTTTTTTGTATCGTCTGATAGAATACTGTACAAATGAAGGTAATGATATGGAATGTTCTATCATCTGCTTATTCAAAATACAAATTAGACAACTTATCAATAAGGAAATGAAGTAAAATAAATGAATCGAAAAAAGTAAGAGCTAATCTTGTTTATGATACGAATATGTGACAATACACAATGGACATAAATTTAGTTAATTAAATTAAATCTAAAAAATAATATCACATTATTATGATTGACAAATTTGTCTTATACGACAACTTTTGATATATGTATTTATTTATATAAAGAGAAGAAAATTCGATTCTTTTTTTTTTTTGCATACAGGAAATGAAATAAAATGATGATACCGCTGAGATCAAATATGAACATACACGTTTGATGGGTTTACTGAAAATAGTTTGTGTCATTTTACTGAATCAACAACACATTTACTATGTTTTTCTATTTTCATTCGTCTTTCGTAATGTGTGAAAATACATTAAATGAAAAAAAGACGTCTTATATCAATTTCTTTTGCTCAATCGTGTTGATCGTCTTATGACACCATTGATCCACGACGATGACAACAGGTAGTCAGTCTGTCTGTCTCTATCCATCATGAAGAACAAATGTACATTGACATAGACGTGTGACTACCGGTGTTCGCTCACAAATGAACACAGACATACTTAACTGAAAATGCGATTATTTTGAAAGTAAATATACGAACATAATGAGTGAAAAGAGTAAATAGAATGAAACAAGTTTTTATGTAACAAAAATATGTGAAAACAAAAACAAAATATGTATGTTTATATATTCATATTTAACCAACTTTAATTGATTAACTAAACGAATCAAGCACAATACATCATGTTTTATTACTTAAAAACTAAGCTCATCTTCGAATGTAAAAAAAAAATAAGAATATCAAATATAATTAAGACAAATAAAGGAGCAAGAGCTAAAATGATATTATAAATTGTAAACAATAAAGAATAGATTGGTTCTTTTGATGGTCTACAACTAAGATTTTTGTCGATAATATAGTTAATAGATATAGCTATATTGATAGTAATTAAAAATAAAATGCCGATTATAATAAATCATCGAGCTAATTCAGGTGAACTTTTTTCACGAATTCCAACATCTCTTGAAGTGATCATCCATCGATCAAATGAAATTAAACAGAGTAAATAGCGAGATATATTAAGACCATTTAATACAAAATAAATTCGAATTTTACCAAATGGAAATGAAATACTACTGAGATCATGAATCGATAAAGTGCGCGTTGTCGAATTCATCTTCGTTGTTATCTATGTAAAAGTGAACTGTTAAATTAATTTAAGATTAATTGGTGAATAATGATCTTCAGTTTTACTACGTAGTAACAAACGTATTAACAAAGAGATAACTAAATAATAGATTTCTATAGTGTATTTTAAAATCTGACTTAGACGAGACTGAATTTAGATAATAAATTCTTACATCATAAAATGGTTACAACGTATACTAATACAGTTTTTATCCGATAAGGACATTGGTACACATTTATGTGTCGCCGAGAGCAAAAGAGTTAATGAATATAAAGCTTTGCAGATGAATACCAAGAAAAAAACTCATCGTAATTGATTTTTAATCTGACTTTTCTAATATTATTTTTACATGAAGTCATGAAGACATTTCAATAACACAACAACAAAAGAAAACTATTCAACAACAATTTCATATTAAAGTATCTTTTATCTTACAGAAAAAATTTAAAAAAGTTTTAAATTATAGATTAATACTTTAACTTTTGGCAATATTTAATCACACATGTAACGTTAGCAAATGATTGTATTATTTGGTAAGGAATGTATGTTGCTATTGTTCTAGTTCATATACAAGTATCTGCTTATAAGAAAAAAGTTCTAATGTCTTATAAAAAATGTAGTTTTATAATTATTTTATTCCAATTCATAAATTAAAGATTTATTGTTGACACTTGTTATGTTTAGACAATAGTCGCCTAATATTCTAACTAATTCCGTAGAAGATTAAACATTGATATTATTTGAATCTTCTTACATAGAAATTATCTGATTGAAAAAGAAATATTTTTAGAAATATATTTATCAATAATTATTATATTTTTGGTGAGATCAATACATAAAACTAAATGAACTGTAAATACATATATTATAGTGCTGTACATTGAAATGTATCTTCATTCTCTTCACTACCATGAATTTGTTCATTTTCCGTATTATTTATTCGATAGAGTGGATGTTTTTTATTCATTGATATATGTTTCGATTGAAAATGTCTTTCAATAGTTGAATCATTAAAATGAACTCGTGCATTTTTTCTTATAATTTCTTTATGTCGTTGTTTTTGTTCATATTTAGCATGATTTGATATTGTATAAAATTTTGATGCTAAGCAATTTTGACTATGTAAATTATTTGATGATACTATATCATGTGATGTATATACTGTTTTTGGTATATGTTTAATAACTGATGAACATGTTGCTGATGATGTATTTCGACGATGTTGATATTCTTGATGAAATTGTGTTGCTTGAAAAAACATCGTTGTATCATCAGATAGGTGAACAATTGTTTTTATTTGTGAACGAAATAATGGAAGATATTTACGACACCAACGTATTTGTTCTTGATAATGTTGAAATAATTTACTGTTATGTTTGATAGTATACATATCAAGTGAACTTTGTACATCAATTTCAATAAATGCATATTTTTTTATATCAAATGCAATAATACGTGGATGATTTTCAATAAGACGATGAAATGTTAACCGTCGAAAAGGATATTTAACAGTTGTTGAAGCGTATTCTTCTAATGTACGACTTATAATAAGTTCGGTTATAAGTGGATATTGATTAGATAATTTACTTAATACATTCGTTGTATATAAACCTTGAATATGGTTTGGTGAAAAAGGAGAAGAAGGTAATTGATACTGAGAATTAATTGATGATAATTGCGTATATACAGGAACAAAAATTCCAAGAGAATCAGATTTTAAAGTAAAAAGTTCATCGTGTAAATTTGATTTTACTTCAAAATGTTCATTTGATGATGATGATGACGATGACGATAATTGTTTTTTTATTGAATGTTTTTGATTAGATAATAAATGTTTATTAAGTGAATGTGGAAGACTGGCAAATAATGTACGTAAACGAATTCCTGTTGCTGATGTTAAAGACGAAGGTCCTCCAGTTGAACTGTGACATGGCTCAAGAAGTGTACCTGGTTCTACACGACAAAGAGATGAATTACTATATGCCATATGTGGTTGTAATATTGTAAAATGTGTATATGGAAATGATGAATAAGACTTGAAATGTGATCGTAGAGAATGAATTGATTGAACAATATTATAATGAGTTACACCACGTTCGACTATAGCAAACAAACCTAAATAACAAAAAACAAAGTGATGATTTTGAATAGTAAATTCGACTAACCATCAAATGAAATTGGAATAGAAAATTGTTTCGTTTCGTTTGAAACACTTAAATATGAATCATTTGTTTTGCAAAGTAAAATATAATAATTATCATCATTTGAATCATTTGTATCATTATCAACAATTTGAACAAGACAAGGTAATTTATGTTGTTCGATCACAGTTTGAAATGATAATAATTCATCAGTATCATCTTCTTGAGATTCATCATATTCAGAGAATTCACTGTTCAAACGCGGTGTTACTGCCCATTTAAGCATTTTGATTATACTTTATTTAATATAAAGAACACAAATAAAAAGTTACGGATATCATAAATAATCTATGTTCGTAATACTTTATCGAAAGAAATAAATATCAATAGATCTTATATTGTTCTGTCTTTACTCTTTTTTTTTTCTTCTTTGAAGAACATGTAGATTATAATACACTGTACGTGTCTTATTTCACTTTCTCTTTTTTTTTGCGTTCGCATGATTGCTCATTCTTTACTTTTCTCTCATTTGTTTCAATATATAAGACGAAGAAAAAAAAAACGGAAAAGAAATTATACCAAATTTCGAATATATTATTGATAACCTTCAGCTTCTCATTTCGAGCACATAATTTTGCTTTGAGACTTGTATCGATTTATTTGAAAACATATACCTTGAGTGCAATTAAGCAAAAAAAGTTATTTTTACCCTACAATCTTGTCGGATTAGTTTATACTTACAAACTATTCATTTTTATAATCATTCATGAACATTAGATAACTAACAATGTGTTATTAAACTTCTTTTTTTTTCAATAATTATACTTCATGTTTATTTCTGTTGAAAATAATAAGAAGAAGAATAGTTTATATTCAAGGATACATTTTATTGGTTACAGCATCCCTGTAAGTGAAATTATAAATGCCATTCTTTTGTCCTTTAAGTAATCTTTTGTGTTACTATGTATGTGCGTGTTTGATTGAACAAAGAATACAAAAAAAAGACGCTTGTTACATATGCAAATGGTATGACTGTTTAATAATTATATGTGTTATAAGGAATTATTATTGCATAGTTTAAAGTAGTGTTACATATTCTTCAAATACACACGTATATATGTATACGCCAAGTATGGCATAAAGAATAATACCATCATTGTTTTGATAGTATTTTTATTAATTTTCATAGTAGAGATGATAGATTAACTTCAAAAGATTCTTTATTCAAATCTCTACAAAAAAAAGCAAGAGCAAAGGGTATAAAATCTATAATCGTGAAATCAAAGGTGATCAAAACCTGTATTTATGCTTTCTTTTATTGTTCAACTGAAATATAAACATCTGACCCTAAGATCGTAATTTTCTGAAACCATCTGTTAGAAACTGGGCATTTCTCGAATATGATATCACTGACTATCTATAAACTCACATTTCTACCCTGAAAATTGATAAAAATGTTATGAAAATATCGAGGACATTATTATTTATGCCGCATCCGATGTATAAATATATTGAAATGATAAGAAAATGATGTTAATATTTTATTTAGCAAATAAAAGGACATTTATTTTTTTTACAATAAAACAACACATTTTAATTTTTTCATTATGTGAATAAACATTTAAAATCATTTGCTGTTAATTTATCATTCATAATAGCTTGTTCGATTGTTTGAGAAATGGCTGATTGCATTGCTTCTCGTCGAGTTTTAAATCCACGAGCTTTACCAATAATTCCTGGAGCTTTTTCTTCACAGTGAAATTTTGCATCCCAAACCCATTTAAATTTACTAACATGTCCTTTTAATACACGGGTACATTTAATTTTACATATACTAATTGGTTGATTATCATACCACGTGTGAGCATCCCATATAAGTGTACTTAAACGACTTGCACATTCTTTCCAATCTCCAGTAACATGTCCTGTTTCACATGTATCAGGAAAGTCCAATTTTTCATCAGAGAAAATATCATCAACAGCTAATGCATTCTGAATAGTTAAAAATAAAATAATTCTAATTAAAGTCGATTGAAATTGCATGTTTGTACAGTATTATATCTATTAACAATACAAGATTTTGTTTTTAATATGTAATTAGTACATTACAGTGAACTTACTTTATAGTAAATGCTCGAGAGATGTTGTTAAAAAAAATCATGGCTATGACTTTTATATAATCATTGTACGAGACAAGTAGTTCTAATATTTACTATTTTTCCTCAAACCTGACTTTTATATTTGTTCTAACAGATGGATTACTGATAATGTTAAAAGAGTATTATTTTTATTTTCACAAAATAAATTTCCTAGACGTCATCTATCATCCTGGACGTCATCCATCAAGTTTTTTGTACTCTTCGATCACACGGTCTTTGGCAAATAAAAATTTATCCTAACCTATATATTTTAATTCGGTTTAATATATGAACGGAAGTGTTATTACCTATACAAAAACATTGTTAATGATTTCTCTCTTCCTACGGATGAAGAATACCATTGGTTCGATGGTGTAGCGGTTATCACGTCTGCTTTACACGCAGAAGGT